TTTACATCACTTGCGCCTCCACATCACTTACGCCTCCGTGCATCACTTACGCTTCAAGAACTAATCACTTATACGCTTCAAGAGCTAATCACCTGCGCCTCCAATGACCTCCTTCCCATGACATCTGAGGGGAGTCTTCTTTTCTTGCCAAGCCAGGGCATGCTCAAAAACACATAAACCCAAATAAACGATGATGCTCATCAAAAAACAAAAGAATAGTAGGTAGCAAGGGGAACCGGTTAAAAAGAAAAGCGGGTGGGGGGGTGCAGGGGGAGGGCGCAGCGCCTCCCCCCGCAATGCGTACCAAGAAAGAAGTGCATAGGCACAAGTATCGATAGATATCAACAAAGATAAGATGAACCCACATAAACGATGCATCTGAAACACCAAACATGGAAGTCGCAATGCAGGCATAGATCAAAGTTGTCGCTCATGAGCGGCTAAGAAAAAAACACATGGAAGCCAAAGAATTAGAAAACGCGTCAAAGCCATACTTGGAGGCCACCGAGACGCCAAACATGGACGCCAATGAACAGGCAAACCTTCAAGCCGTCGCAATCGCACAAGCCACATAGAAGCCACACATATAGAAGCCACTCACAAGCCACACTTAGAAGGCAAATAGCTGCCAGATATTAAAGCCATCGAACAGGCAAACTTTAAAGCCATCACACGTGGACGACGATCGTGACAGCCAGATAGAAGCCATCGACCTAGACGCCACCGGGGGGACGGCAACTATCAAGACCACATGGTCGCTGCAGATTTTGAAAGCGACTTAGAAGCCACGATTTGAAGCCACATTAGGAACCGCAGATTTGGAACCCACTGGGACGCCACAGTTAGAGGCCATGTTGAGAGCCGCAGATTTGGGAGGCACTTAGCAGCCACAGCCAAAAGGTCACATTGGAAGCCGTAAATTTCGAAGACACTTAAAAGCCACACTCCGGAGCCCTACGACGGTTAACCACTCACTTCCAACACCAAAAATCAACTCACTTCCAACACCGACTCACTCCCAACACCAAGAACTCACTCCCAACACCAAACATTGACTCACTTCCAACAAAAAAACACTTTTCGGCGTCGAGGGCGAGTCGGTTTTCCGTTTCCCCATTGGTACTGAGGCGTCACTTCTGGAACCCCATCATAAACAAACATTACAGGGAAAATGATTCAAGCCGCAGCTTTAGAAGCCGCACTTAGAAGCAACAATTAGAAATTGGTAGCCACACTCTGGAGGCATATTAGACGCCGCAGACGCCGCAGATTTAGAAGCCACAGTCGGAGGGCACATCGGGAGCCGCAGCTTTCACTTAGAAGCCACCTTAGAAGCCACAGATTTAGAAGCCACTTCGACGCCACAATTCGACGCCACAATTCGAAGCCACTAGAAGCCACTGTAGAAGGCCATATTGAAGGCCGCAGACTTAGAACCTACATGGAAACCATAATTAGAAGCTACCTTGGAAGCCGCCACTAAGAAGCCACCCTCCAGAGCCGCAGATTTAGAAGCCACTTAGAAGCCATGATCTGAGGGCTCAGTAGAAGCCGCAGCTTTAGAAGCCGCACTTAGACACTCAGAAGCCACACTCCGAAGCCATATTGGAAGCCGCAGATTTAGAAGCCACTTAGAAGCCAGGATCGGAAGGAATATTGGAGGCCGCAGCTTTGCAGGCCGCAATTAGAAGCCACAAGGAGAAGCCACTTTAGAAGACACTTCGACAGCGCTGTTAGAGATCACTATAGCAGGCCAGGTTAGTAGCCGCGTATTGAGCAACCACAAAAAGAAGCCACATTGCAAGCCGCATATTTATAGAAGCCATTTACCCGTTACAATGAGAAGCCACTATGGAAAGCCATATTAGACGGCGCAGAGTGAAAACCTAGATAGAAACCATCCTTAGAAGCTACATTGGCAGCCGCAGAGCTAGACACCATTTAGAAACCACAATTAGAAGCCACATTAGAAGACACTTAGAAGCCACGCATGGAAGCCACAGAGTGAGTGAACTTTCGCACCCTCGCACCTGGAAGGCAACAATCCTAGGTACATAGAAGCCACATACATAGAAGCCATTAGGAACTACATCCGAGGCACAAGCGAGGAAAAACCCGAGGCACAAGCGAGGAAAAACCCGAGGCACAAGCGATGTGCCGACCTGCCCCAACTCGTTGCCATGTCAACGGGGAAAATGAGGTTATGAACAGTGGATGATGCCGGAATATCTGATTTGTTTTTTGCGTTTGAAATCCGACGCTTTATCATGGCCGATCCTCAATTCCTTATTTAAATGACCATCAAATGATGGCTCAAAATCCTATCTCACCCCTTTGTCGTCACCAGTGCAGGTTGTGTAGGCGCTTTAGTCTAGCTGCATGCTCTAGCGTCACAGCATTGCAGTGGGACATTCATGGTGGAATCCAAATACATTCATGGTGGAATTGCCATTTAATGTTCACCTATGATTTATCAATAGGGCCCCCCCCCCCTCTCTGACCCTAAATAAACTTAAGGCCACCATAAAACTTGTTTGTATGTAAAGGTTTTATATTACCACAATTGAAAACGAATACATAAAATGCAATTTCAAAAAAAAAGGAATCCAGCAATTGTTTTAGTATTGATCTAGTATTCATCTCATGGATTTAGTATTGATTTAGTATTCATGTCATGGATTTAGTATTGATTTAGTATTCATCTCATGGATTATTGATTTAGTATTCATGTCATGGATTTAGTATTGATTTAGTATTCATCTCATGGATTTAGTATTGATTTAGTATCCATTTCATGGATTTAGCATTGATTTAGTATTCATGTCATGGATTTAGTATTGATTTAGTATTGATTTAGTATTGATTTAGTAGATTCAGTATTGATCTAGTATTCATATCATGAATTTAGTATTGATTTAGTATTCATGTCAAGGATTTAGTATTGATCTAGTACTCATGTCATGGATTTAGTATTGATTTAGTATTCATGTCATGGATCTGCGCAAATCTGGGTTTAGGGCCAAAAACAATTAGCTTTATTCAGGGTCAAACTCTAATTAGTGCCAAGGCACCTCATGGGGGGTACCCTTGACGAGTTGATTTGGGATTGATTTTGGATAATTTTGAATAAAGGTTTTGAATAGAAAAGAGCAACCATTATTTTTTGAAAATTTGAAGTTATCAAGGTAAGATCTAATGAGCTGGCAATATGAATTAGTACATGAAAGCCACCTCAAATAAAGCATGGAAAAAAAAAAATCAGCCCCATCTGGGCAAATCTGGCCAATCTGGGTTTATGGTCATTTTTTTCAGCCCCATCTGGGCAAATCTGGAGAAATCTGGGTTTATGGACAATTTTTTTTCAGCCCCATCTGGGCAAATCTGGGTTTAGGGCCAAAAAAATTTAGCATTATTTAGGGGGCATTTATTATTTATTTTGGGAAAAATTTAGCATTATTCAGGGGGCATTGATAAATCGTAGGTCAACATTATAGTGGATTTTCCCATTAAACATGGTGATTTTCCATAGCTATGTTAGTTTACCAGAGGGTACTTGTATGGTGCCGTATGGTGCAGGTCTCATGAAAATTCAGGGTCCGTTTGATTTGGGTCCACCTTCATCGACAGGTCAGCTTAAAGCAACCCGCTGGGTCGGCTTTCTATGCCATCCATGAATTCCCTATAGAATGGGGCTGCTCCCACTTTTGAGCAATCAAACATAATCAAACACTAATAATATATAATTAATATTTTTTGAAAAGCAGCTATAAAGATGAACACATATAGATATCAATATATGCGTATACCTTACATAGAAATACATCATAGAAATGATGGATAGTAGAGACCATATCACATATCATGCTATATCATCATTTTATATCATATGATTATCATATGTCAATGTCTCATATCTATACAAAACAACATTTTTCCAGCGTTTCTCGCAGTAGATGTACCCTCTGGTAACTAACATAACTATGGAAAATCACCATGTTCAATGGGTAAATCCACTATAAATAGCAATTTTCAATAGCTACGTTAAATTATCAGAGGGTAGAAGATACCTCAATGCCACCGGTGCGTGCTAAAAACGACGCTCCCAGGAGGCGCACCAGGACGTGGTGTGCAAAGTCGCTTCAGCAGTTCCAAAGCCCGGGGAGATGCGGTCCTTGTCGCAGTTGGAGGCCCTCTGGGATGGTTTTCCTATGGGATTTTTTTCTGGTGGCTACCGGCCTGGTAAACAGGTAAACAATGGTAAACATACAAAAAAACCGGGAACATCACCATGTTTTATGGATAGATCAACTATTTCGACTGGGCCATTTTCAATAGCTATGTTGGCTTACCAGAGCGTAGTGGGAGTACTGGTACCGATTCAAAGAATGATTTGCCGAATGTTTCGCAAATATGGTAAAGAGACAAGAGACCCCCCAGAAAGCATGGTTTAGTACGGGATGGAACCATGTATGTGGGACCATAGAATGATGGTGTCTAAGTGAAAAGGTGATGGGATTGTGTTGGAAATACCATCGATGTCCAGTCAGTTTTCGCAGCTATAGCGCTGGTCATACGGCCGCCAGGGTGTTGTCAGCGGCCCCGTGTAGAGCGCTGTGAAGCTGCGGCGTCAGGGGCACACCTTAGAGGAGCCAAGTCAAGTGGAGGTTTCCTAAATCATGGAGGTACCCCAAATTATCCAAAAATAAACCTTTTTAACATGGTTTTGGGGATGCCCATTTTAGGAAATCCTCAAGTGTGTAAGCATGGTTATATAAATACCATGTTCAAATCTGGTAAAACAACCATGTTAATATTCAAATTTGTAAATTGTTAATGGTAATACATGTGCGTTGGGTCTTCCATGGATTTAGAATGAAACCATTCTGGGAATCTGGCTGGATGTTGGTGATGATTCTGTGCTGCAAGGGCTCAGAGAGAAGGACGCATCCGGACAATGGCAGCAGACGTGCACTAGACATGGCACTAGACTAGATGGGAAAATGCTTGAGAAATCATGGGAAACGCTGTATTTCATGGCAAATCCTGCTTTGCTTCTGATTTCTCGACTTTGTGCCCCCCGCATCCCAGCCATGGAAGAAGTCGACAAGGTGGAAAAAGTTTGATGAGCAGTTGAGATTGAGATTGGAGTACAGAAAAGACGTAGGAAAGTCAGCAATTGGGATTTGATCTACAGACACCTATGCTGTACTCAAATATAGTCGAGCACTCAGCACACTTGAAGAATTTGGAGGACATACTTGTTGAATGGACTGTTTCTTAATCCCTTCCTCCTAATACTAAACGTCCCCCAAATACTAAAAACAGGCATCCAATTTTTTAATTATATAAAGAATTTTAATTGATTTTGAGATCGGAAAAATAGTTTGTATTATTAAGGGTTTTAAATTTGCAGAAAGGTACGCTGTCAGGTCCCCATTTTTCCACGTTTCTAAAAATGCAGTGTTTTTGCTACATCATGTTTAATCCTTTATGTTCATATACCTGTGATGGAATTGCTAGAGATCCACACAGATTGTCAGACTTCCTCAGAGGTTGCCAAAGAATGTCCAGAGAGTCATGAAGGTCTCCAGGGAAAAGGAAGGAGGAAAAACAAACATAGTGTGTGTATACATATATGGCTTCCCTTACGGGAGAGGTGGCAAAGGACAAAACGTTTTTTTTTATTCGAGCCTCCCCCCTTCTCCTAGACCTCCTATATATAGCCCTCCTATATACATTGATGGACTTGCATTTTTCCTGGTAGTACTACTGTATGCATCTATGATATGGATGGTACATAAGTAGCACACACCAATACGTACACATATTTCCTGCATGTACTTTGCATATGTAATGGAACTCTTCCAGGATTGATTGCAATAAAGACTCTTTGGTTGCAACTGACTTTGCTCATAAGAGTTGGCACCTGGCAAGGACAGCTCCAACTTACACTTTCTCCAAAAATATTTTCCCTGTATATTTCACAGTAATTTGCTATGCCACTGCATATCTAATCTAGGTATCCTGTTACCATAATTGCTTGGCTGTGCTTTTATGTTTTTTTACCATAAATGTACTCATGGCTGTGGAGAAAAACTTAAACTATGTCAGTATAAGTCCACCATGGTAACCAGAAGGGCACAAGACCAAGTAAACGAAACACTTAAGCAACCTTACCAAACAACTGTATCTATAGAATGGCTGAATTGCTTTTCATTAATGCGGCAAGTTACCATGTTCATTGATGCAGCAAGTTACCATGAAGTATGCAACAAAATGCAACTACTAGAGGAGGGACAGTAGATTGGAAAATGGGTGGCATATAAGTCACCTATGCCCTTACAGGCACAAGTGTTCTACATTTATCCTGCATATGCAATGGTATTGTTCCAGGTTTCAATGCGATAAAAGATCGTTGCAAGAGTTGGCAAATTCCAGGGGCACTTCCATTTCCCCCTTGCTTCAGAAAAGGCGTTTTTACCTGCATATTACATGGTAATTTGCTGTGTCACTGCAAATATAAAGGCAGACATTTTATTACCATAAATGTATTCATGGCTGTGGGTAAAACTTAAGCTACGTCAGTATACGTTCACCATGGTAACCAGAATGGCACAAGACCAAGTAAAGGAAACACCTAAGCAACCTTACCAAACAACTGTATCTATAGAATGGCTGCCTTGCTTTTCATTGATGCAGCAAGTTACCATGAAGTATGCAAAAAAAATGTAACTACTTGAGAAGGGACAGTAGATGGGAAAATGGGTGGCATATAAGTCACCTATGCCCTTACAGGCACAAGTGTTCTACATTTCTCCTGCATATGCAATGGTATTCTTTCAGGGTTGCAGCTGGTTTTGTTCATAAGAGTTGGCACATTGCAGGGACAGCTCCATTCTACACTTTCTCCAAAAATATTTTCCTAATATTTTCCTGTATATTTCAGTAATTTGCTATGCCACTGCATATCTAATCCAGGTATCCTGTTACCATAATTGCTTGGCTGTGCTTTTATGTTTTTTTACCATAAATATACTCATGGCTATGGGCAGAACTATGTATATATATATATACTGTCTTTGCAATAGCTGTGTACCTAGGTAGTACCTATACATTAATATATACATGAAGTACCAACTGACACAATGAATCTCTATGTTTCAAAATGTTGTTGGGCAAAGAAAGAAGTTTGCCATTCATGCACTAAGACCACCTATCAAAAAAATAGAGCTACAAAAAAGCAAGCAATCCAGAATAGAGCTAAGGATTCACAAACCAAAAACAGTACATCTCCCAAGAACTTTGATCTTTCATATATGATCAAAAGATGAAAAAAAAGTCAAACAAACGCTTAAAACCACGTATTTTTGGGGACCTGGTGGCGTACCACTCTCTTAATTTAATATTAGGGGGAAGCTTCGAAATCCAATTTTTGGCAACATATTAATGGCGTTATATAAAAAAGTTCATTGATTTTGAGATTAAGGGTTTTAATTTAATATCAGGGGGAAGCTTCTAAATCCAATTTTGGGCTAAATTTTCATTGCGTTAGATAAAGAAGTTTAATTGATTTTGAGAGGGGAAAAATAGTTTTTATTATTAAGGGTTTAATATTATTAGTAGGGTTCCCTAAAAAATCCTAATAATAAATGCCACCCTAATACTAAACACATTCCTGCCGTGTTTAGTAATAGGGGGGGGCGTTTAGTATTAGGAGGAAGGGATTATTCTTCTTGCAAGAGTCCGATTAGA